CGTCGACAACCACATCGAGTTCACCACCAACCAGACCTACTTCGAGGGCGTCGGTACCCGTACTCCTCTCAACGCCCAGCCCTGGGTTCCTCCTCAAGTGCCTACTCTCTACACCGCTTTGACAACCGGCAGCATGGACCCCGCCACCTACGGCCCTGGCATCAACCCCTGGGTCATCAAGTCCGGCGAAATCGTCCAGATCGTCATGCACAACCCGCACATGTACCCCCACCCCATGCATCTCCACGGCCACGTCTTCCAAGTCGTCGCCACGGGTCTCGGAGTCTGGAACGGCGATGAGAGCTCGCTGCCCCGCGTGCCCCTCAAGCGCGATGGTTTTGTCGTACCAGCTTTCGGCTACGCAGTCATCCGTTTCAAGGCTGATAACCCGGGTGTGTGGTTCTTCCATTGCCACATCGATTTCCATCTCGTTGGCGGTATGGCTGCTACTATCATCGAGTCACCAGATCTGCTGAAGGGCTCCGTTCCTGCTGCTGGTGTTGCGCTCTGCGACGCGGGTAAGAGGAAGTCGAGCGGTAACTGCGCCGGTGAGAAGGGTGAGATCTCCGCGGCAGACGCGAGCACCAAGTGTAACAACGTGTACAATACCCGCGTTCGTGGTGCGTTGATCGAGCAGAATTAGTCTTTTCGCATTTTGCAACTTCCTCTTCTTTGTAGAACATTGAATACTGTACATGTCTTCATCTATATTTAATTAGACTGTATCTTATCATACCATTATTTCTCTTCCTACTATACTTCAGTGAGACTTTCCACAGCTGCATCCGCTCTTTGCTCCGACCCTCTTCTTCCAACTCCATGTCATTGTCGGGTCGGCAACCATTTTCTGCATCACTGCAGTATCTTTGTCGTTCCAGCCTTTGTCTAGCATGCTCATCTCCACACTTAGCCTCGCATACCGCACTGCCTCCCACTTCATCCCAAAACTACTATATGTCTCCGCAGCATGCTGATACGCCGTCGCAAGACTAGCGTCAAGACGCTCTTGCTGGTACAAACTGATGAGAAGCTCTGCCGTTGCAGGGGTGGCGGCAGAAGATTCTGTCCAGTCACTGAGAACGTCCTGCTGGATAGTCGCAATCTGTTCGAGCCTCGAATCCGATTCCGACACTAAAGAAGCATGTGCGGTGCATGTGGAGCAGGAACATTTGAAGCCCCAGTTCTTTTCCAACCCGCGCATGCGCCGTGCGCGCGGTAGCTCGTTGTTGATGTATGTGATTGTGATTTCCTCGCCGGGGTAGATGGGTCGGATGGCGTGGACGTAGTGCGTCAGCGTCTTTTCATCGAAGAAGTACGCGGCATTTGGTCGGCAGTCGTGGTTCAGCATGGCTATTTCAGGGAAAAGCGCGGATTGCGCGATACCATCGATAGCGACTTCGAAATTGTTGGTCGTGATGCGGTCGTCTATCGCGTCGGCATCGGGCGTGTGACCCATGAGCTCCCAGAACAAGGATTGTGTCGACTTCGGAAGCGTGTCTATGCCGCGATGCAGCAGCGCAAGGCGCTCGGATTCGGGTAAGTCGTATAGATCGGGGTCTGTGATGAGGATTGGCGTAGAAGCGAAGATCTCGTCGCCTCGCTGAAGGGTCTTGTTGGCGACTAGGCCTCTTCCTTTTCCAGGGAATTCATGCTGGTAGAATGGTGGGTTCTCGTAACGGTTGATGCGCTCGAGGGTTTCTGGGCGCTTGAATGCGTCGTGTTGCAGCATGGCGTAGGCGAAGGTACGTGCGGTGACGATGAAGATGCCTCTCCCCGATGCGAAGTCTTGTTTGCTGAAGACGCAGTAGGGCTCTGCGACTTTTTCGTTGGTGAAACATTCTGGCCAGAATGTCCAGGGGAAGTTTTCTGTTTGGGAAGCTAACGCGCGGGCGTCTTCTAAAGAGTTTGTGTGAGGCGAGGGGTCGGAGGTATTGGACTGGAATGCTACTGATGCTGGTGAGTTGCCATATGCCAAAGGTAGGCATTTGCCGTTGTCAAGTAGGTGATTTGATGGGCATGCGTCTTGTATGAGAGGTTGTTGCGCAACAAAGCCGACTTTCTCGTTCGATAGTGCGAGCGCGCTTCCCAGCAAGCTCAGGCTAATAGCTGACTTCATGATGATAGGCTGTGCTTTGTAAGTGGATTCGGTATTCCGGGAATGTGAAGATACAGGAGCAAAAGAACAGTATGGGTTACAGTTTCGTTTTTGTATAAGAATGTCTTGAACTTTTGAGTAGAAACTTGAAACGCATCCTGATCGTGAAGCCGGAGATGAAACGATTGCGCAAAACAAGCCGCACCCAGACGCGTCGGAACCACCGTCTGGAGTTGCTACATGGATACTGTAACATACTGGGTATGAGGCTTCAGCCTTTGTTTAAACATAGCTACGCGTTGGAGATAGAATGTTAGCTTGGCTGGCGTGTACTCCCTAAGTAGTTATGGGTGTCGCGAAGCTCAAGCGACGCAGCCGGAGTGGTCTTCGTAGGAGTCGTGCTGCCCCCATGTTGGGAGTCACTAGAGTGCGCAAGATACATTTCTGTAACATTGCTTGCTTGCAACAGATGTTGCTAGGATGTCGGATTACGAGTGCGCGGGGAACGGCGGGAGGATGCACGTGAGTGAAGATGTGACGCGTTTCGAGAGTGAAACCCTGGCGCTATCGTGCCTCGGCAAAACTTACCCGCTAGCACTCTCCAGAGCTAGCGCAAGCCCCGCCACTTGAACCTTTGTCGGGAAGCATCCACGCCCACGGAGGTTCATCACTCTAATTGCAAAACGCGTCATCTTGTGCCATTAGGCTGCTAACAGCATACATTTTGAGCGGAATTCTTAGGCCTAACGCGACGAAGTTCAGCGAGCCCCTCACCATACTCACAACAGCAAAACCTTTCGGCTCTGCGGGTACCTGAAGCTGCAAGGCCCCGAGAACTCAGCCATCTATAGGAGATGATCGATTGGTATAGACGCAGGATCGTTGCATCAATGAAGTATTCCCGAAAAGCAACTTTAGAACTGGTCTAGACTTCCCTAATCCATCAAGGATCCCACTCAACAAAAGCCGCTTGGATTATCGTTGTCACTCTTTCCAAGGTGAGGTCCTCTGGTCCAAACACGACTGTCCGGTTCCACATTGGTGCTACTATGACCTTATATCCCGCACGTCTCAGGCATGCCAATAGCCAAAACAACCACTCTACTTTCTGCGCGTAATCTTCCGCGTCGGTGCGAATCACGTCTAAGGATCTGGATTCGTTGTTGTGTCCTTCCAGAGTGATCGTAATGGTCGAACGTTCTTTGAGCTGGAATAGGGACCCAAGCCTTTGCAAGTCGAGGATCTCTTCGGCAGTGTCTCGGGCGTATAGAACAGGTATGTAGATTTCGACGTTTAGGACCAAGTCAAGTGGCTTACCCACTAGAGCAGCACTCCATTCGAGCTGAGAGAGGCAAGAATCGATGGTGCTGGCATCTTCGGTAGAGAACCTCGTCGCTTCGTACCATGCTTTAGCTAGCTCTTGTTTGATTTGAGTATCCGCAGCGAAAAGTCTGAAATTTACCCCAAGGTCTCGGCGGAAGGGAGCAAGATTACCGACCTTATATTTCCGCGCCGCTAGATTCTCATACACGTCTTCGAAGAGGTATTCATACACCATATCGCGAAGCTCTCGAGGCCAGAAATCTTGCATGTGCTGGAGGATTGAACGACGATAGGCGTATCGTATCCGATCGCACTTAGCTTCATGGAAAGCGTCGATATCCGCTTTTGTGGCATGTCCTGTTGGACTGTGGTAGGCTGATGAATGAAGAGCAGTCCAAATCTTCTGAGAGCCTCTCAGTTCTGTCGTCGCGCTACGAAACGTTAACAACCATAACATCCATGGTGACACCCTGATACGCACTCATTGAGGTATGCGCAACACGTAGGCCAAGCAGCTTCAGCGGCTTCTCCGTCTAGAATCGCACCAGCTTCCTCGCCTTGGAGCTCACCGTTTTCTAGAAGCCCGTCGTGCTCATCTCTTAGAAGCGCAGCGTATTGGTGGTTCGAAAACCCGCATTTCTCTTGTGGAAGCCTATCGTCTTTATCTTCTGAGTCTCCATCTTCCGAGTTCTCATCCTCTTCATCGTCTGAGGCCTCATCGTCTTCATCTTCCGAGGAACTATCTTCTTCGTCGACTGACATCTCATTGTCCTCCTCATCCGAAGGCACATGATTATCTGCTAGAAACTCATTATACTCAGCGTCTGAGACATCAGACATCTCCGTATCTGAAGAATCCGAAGAATGCGAGAACCCTACGTTGGCTCTTTTCGTTCGTTAGTCATCAAGATCTAAAAGGCTTTTACAGTAACTTACTGGTGGGTTATATTACCCGCGGTAACATAGTGATTTGTAGCAATTTCTTGCATCCTTCGGCCATAGAACTTATTAGTAGAACTAATATCGATTCAGAAGTGAATTTGTATTGTAAAACGTGCGAAAAATGAGAGTTTAAGTAGTGAACCCCGGCATCCGGTATCGCTCGGGGTGCCGAATTAGGTGTCTTCTGTTGCCATCTTCTTACTCGTCTTTGGTAGCCTCATCGTTCATTTCAGTGGTAGTAGAAATCAGGGCGTGCCGTATAACAGCTACGGTAGAGCAGTCACGACTAAAGGATACCATGGGTTTTATGCGCCCGGGTCTTGCGGATGTACGCCCAAGTCTACCCGCTTTCTTTATCTAGGTACTGCTGTCGCTTCCGGCACAGCGCTATCGAGGTCCATGGACTGGACTTGGTGTCATAATGTGAGAGCCAATAAGGCAGTAAGGAAATCATGACTGCGCGGTACGCAGTTTCAAACTGAGCATGTGATGTTTTCTGGGATGGTACGGACGGATAAGAGCTCCACTATATCCAAAGAACAAGCACGATGAATGTAACAAGCCAGTATCAGACCCAGAAGTCCACATAGCTTGTAAGTAAGCCTGAACTACTCTTTCAAACTCATGTAGACGCCAGAAATCACTCATTCGCCCTCAACCATGCCTCCACCCAGCGGTTCCCCCGCTCCACCACTCTCTGATCATTCATGTACGGTCGAACTATCATCTTATACCCCATACCCCTCATACGCAATGCTACCGGGTATAAAGATTCAGCGCGATATAAATCTTCATTCGGATCATGACTCCTTTCAGGGAATCTTTTCACGATGATGATGATGGTTGTGCCTGGCTTGAGACATTCAAGGAGCTCCAACTCTTTGCTTACAGCCTCGCGCATCAAGGGGGCTTCCAGGGGTTTTGTCTTTAATTGCACTCGTCTGATAAGTTCGACTGGATCAATGCCAGCGCTCCATGGATATCTCTCCAGAGAGGGGCGAATGAGTGCGGCATCCGTGACAATGAAGTATGATGTCCGGAACCATGCTTCGATGAGCTCAGTCCTTACTTCATGGTCGTGTATATATCCTGGCTTGAGTAGGTAGCTGTAAGGATAATGTCTTCCCATGTCTTGCTTTACACAGTCCGGAATGTCGTCGGAGTTCTCGGCTTCGGGTTTGTTCGCTTCTAACAAGACGTGCGTGCCCTGGAAAATATTCTCAAAGACCATTTCACGAAGCTCCTTCGGTAAACGATCCCGTATTTTCTGGAAGAACGCACGGCAACATGGGCCTTCTTGGATCATAATCCGTTCGTCGACCTCGGCTGGAAGGCGGGCGAGAATGTTGGAGAGGCTGCGGTCAGCTGCGCTGAACGTATCGCACTCTGTTCCGGTGGCGAATTTAAATTTGCCTGTTAGCTTCGGTGAATAAGCCAGGAATTCTGCACGCCCGCGGTAATCTTCTAGCCATGCGCTTGCACTGAGTTGTGTCAGCATGTGTCTTTATGACAAGGAGATTGTGTTACACACTCTCTAAGGTAGTCGTGGTACTCTTCCTCTTGAGGGTCATCGTAGCTATCAGAAGGATTGCCCTCATAGAATGGATCTGGGTTGGGTCTCGTGAGCTGTGCCATACTGTTAAGCGCACTGTTGTCGTGGAGCTGTGTTACAGGTTGGAAGGTGGAAGTAAAAGAAGCCTTCGTGGGCATGGAAGAAATTTAAAGGGTAGAAGCGGAAAAAGATTATGGCTGTATTCTCTTTAGTCTGGTAACGTTGGGACTGCGGAGCCTGTGAGTGGCTTACCGTCGTTAGACGTCATTACAGTACCAGTGGATGAAGTGGATAGCAACCAATGTATGCGTCAGGGCCCATGGTAGCGACGGTAAACTCGAATTGCGCACTCGCGTCGGTCGCAGGTACGTTAGCAAGCGCATACGTTCCAAGGCGCTGGACAGCGGCCTCCCCATATAATATGACAATAGAATACTATCCCAGCGTATTCATCCGTGCCGTATGTCCCTCACATATATACCCTACTTCCCCCTACGTGTCCTCAACACCCTCCCCCCTCTACTCGTATCGCTCTCCACAGCACCACTGTCCCCACTCTTCGCTTCTCGTCTGACCCGCCCCTTGTTTCGCACCCTCTCTTCTTTTCTCGAGACCCTGCCGCGTCTACCAGCGTTCCCCTCAAGATCCACACTTTGCTCATCCTCACCTTCCGTTCCGCGCTTGGCCAGCGCCTCATTCTGGACCCGCTCTTCTATCCTCAAGACCTTGATTCGCCATATGCGCTGCTCCATGCTCAACTTCAGTTCTTCTAATTCTCTCTTCTCGGTTGCCGTTGCATTCGTCGGAAGTTCGGGCAGAGAGGCTAGGAGGTTCATGGCCTCGATCTCGGTTTCTTCTGTAGCATCTATCGGTTCGTGCGGTTCACTATCTGGTGTCGGGTTTTCTGCGTTATCCAAAGCCGGGTCTTCGTCATCGTGCGCGTCAGGTATGATCGCGCCCTCTTCTTCCTCCTCTGCAGCAGATATACCGGGCGGTTGCGTCGGAGTCTGAACATCAAGAGTGATGTTATCGTTATTCAGCTGCCAGTGCGGCTCCCTAATACGCTGTTGCTCAAGTCTCGATAGTCGTTTCTTCCTCTTCCTGCTTTTCTCCCTCGCCTCATTGCCTTCAAGATCTGAGAGGAAGCCAGTGTCATCCGGTACCCGGGGGTCGGGGTCCTGGTGCACCAAAGTTGGGAGTTCGACTGCCAGGGGATCTGGCATTGCGTCTTCGTTCGCTTTCCGTCTCTTGCCTCTTGGTGGAGGCTTGGGTCGCGTTGGCTTCTTCACAGCGGATGCATCGGGATTTAGGTTAACTTTGACGGGTCGCACGCCAGAGAGGTACTGGTATTTTCCCCCGGCGAGTGGTTCAGATGAACCTTCTTCTTCCTCCTCTTCATCTTCGTCGTCGTGGTTGACAGGTGTTTTCGGCACCTGTATACGGGTATTCCGGGTCGTGCGGCCACCTTTCCTATCCTTCGCGTCTGACTCCGGGCTGGCTAGCCCAGCTCCCATCTCATCGGCGTCTCTTTCATATTGTTTCAAGACCGCTTTCAGATCTACAGCTTTGGCCCGACTCGACCTGCCAGCCGCAGACTTGTTCTTCTGTTGACGCATCTTTACAACTTCCTTCAGTCTTCCCGTGAAGTCTGGGAGAGTAGCGCCAGGTAGTGATGAGATCTCGCTCAAAAGCATAATGATGTCGGCACCCCATTGAGGGAAAAGGTCCTGGGGCCATAGTGGACGTGGAATACAGTCTTTGGCAAATTCGAGATGCCAGTTGGTCATGATGGTGGTGACATGTTGTTTCAAGGACCTTGGAGAGATGTAGTTGAGCTCTGATTGGATGGCTTTCGATATATCGAAATCTTTGGAAGGTGCCATGTTCGCGTCTGGGAAGAAATGTCGTATATCGTATTGGTGTTATTGAATAGTCGAGTGCGAAACATAAGGATCATGAGATGGAGGAGATGGGATTCGTAATTCTGGCGCGTGTGGAGGCAGCATCGTGGTTTGGGGTGAAGACATCGAATGAAGCGGCGAGTGCAGTATTTCCAGGGTAGAAAAGGCGGTCAAAGCTCATTGCCGTCAGCCACGCCGACTCGAAGAAGCTAGCATCAACCTGCAGCTATAACAGACTTCGTTGAGTGGCTTCCCCACGGGTGCGTTCTAGGCTTGGAGGCATTTGCAGTGTCCCAAACGTCGCGGGATGCCGGGGAAGCTCAGAGGATTATTTACTGGAGAGTGGGTCTGATGATGTCATCAAGATATTCTAGGCGGGTTTTGAGTTTAAACTATTGCGGTAAGCTCGGATTCGATAGATTGGGTGCGCAATAGCTGGTGAACATTGAGATGTGTCGTATCTTTTGAATTCCGCACACTCAAGCTTCCGTCTAGAGACGCCTCCAGATGTTGTACAAGTCGTGTCGCGTATATGATACAGGTATAGCACAAAGCTGAGGAGAGTGTGAACGCCGCCCGCTGCCGAAACCTGCGGTATATGCCAAACATCCCAAAAACACCGTCTGCCCAGACATCAGACATGTCGCTGCCCGCCCGTGGCCTGATAACGGTTCGCTCTGAAGAGGTATAAATCGTGAATCGAAAACGTTTTACGCGGCCACAGCCATGCCGCCGCCGCCGGATGGTGCACCCACGTCGGCTGGTGGTGGTGGGGGCGCATCGAGCCTTGTGTTGTCGGCCATCATGCGGTTGAAGCCAATTGAGACACCCTCGATGACAGCCAGCAAAATGGCACATGATATCGCGCCGTTTCGCATCGACCTGTATCCTCCTCGTACTGCGAGCGAGCCACCTGTGAAGAATCCTGCGATGATGGCGTTCCACGGGTCCTCCTTCTTCCGTATTCCCTTGACTGCGCAGTCGTATGTGTTGAAAAGTCCTCCCCAGACTCCGAAGTTGCCGCCGAGAACAGGCGCGCGAGCTTTGATCGCTGTGATGGCGCCGATGCGTCGCTCGCCGTAGGGTGAGTTACGGAACTGTGGCTGTATAAGCGCAATTCAAAGTATGAATTAAAAGATACTTACACCCTTCACACCATGCCATACTGCTCCTCCGACAGCCTAATGCGATGTTAGTATACGGGCCAGAGATGCAGCGCTGGTGGGGACATACACCCATGGCAAAGGCACCGCCAAAGTCATTCAGAATGACCCAGGGGCAGGGATCGCGCGAATGGTCCATTATGTATTATTGGAGGATATGATGTGTTTTGGGCGATTCCGGGGGTGAGGCGAGGGCGTGGGCGAGCTCGTGGTCGGACGGTAGCCACCGGTGACGATGTGCTTCGATGGAATTTCTTGAGGACCCTTGCTGCTTTGGCGCTAGCGGCAAATCTTCGGGACTGGCGCGACCACTTCTGCCGTCAAACCTCCTTCCATGTATCGTCACTCACCCTCAGAACCATCTATGCGGCATCAACTTTTCGCTTTTATGGAGTCATATGCTACTTTCTCTGTCATTTGTCAGCCATAGCAGCTCTGTCGAACGATGGAGCTACAAATCGCTCCTCCGCGCAGCACCCATCGCCTGCGACTGTGCACGTCCAATGAATCTATACTGCAAGATCCAGATCAATTCGTCGCGAAGTCTACTACCACCTCATACAAGAAAAAGGCTGAACAGGTCTAGAGCCTACATCAACGCTAACTTGTCTATCTTGTAGGGTTTCAAGCTAATGTAGGCTGCAGGCCTGTTTAGCTCTTTTCTTGGTTGGCGTGCTACGTCTATTCTGTGATAGTAGCAGCTATTCGACATCTATGTGACAGTTCTCCTCTGTCCGCCTCTCTCTCCCGCGATGATTCCCCAGCTTGTCCATCAACTCTGACTGTTTTCGTTTCTATATCTTCAGCATCAATTCTCTGTACTGTGTTTCCGAGGACGTGTGCATCGCTTCCGAGGTGAGAGTGTGACCTGGACATCACTCTCAGACCACGTACAAAAGAGATGATATCTCGACGGAGTTCTCAGACCTACATGCAGGTAACGTACAAGCATCTGTCGTCCATCCAACTCATGTCTTCTCCTCGCTGCAAGTTGAGCTCATGCGTATCATGCATTCACCGCTCACCGCTCCAGAAGTGGTACCAGACTCGCGCTCACCACGACATTCCGGCCCTCTCGTCCTGGGGTTTCTACGCTCGTCCAATGGTTTCCATTTGCGTACTGCTCCTGGACCCTGCTTTGGAGTCTGTGTCACCTCGGATTTGCTGCCTAGAGTCAAGTCTTGGCGCTCGCGCTCTTGTTGTTGTCAATTTTGCTACCACACTCACCTACTTACCTCTTACCACTACACCACTTGACTTTCTGTACAACCTCTCAAAATGGTGGGTGCTACTCGAGGCCGCACACGTAAGGAGGCTGTAAAGCGACCAGTCTCACCTAGCGACGATGGTACCATTGCGGACGCACCGCTCGAAGGTACCGCTATTGTCGACGCTCAAAGCAATCCGCACATGCCTTCGTCAGCCACTCACCCCGCGCGTGACGACGTATCGCGTCTGAGTGAGGGTCTCGAGCCGCTTCACCTAGTTGGGCAAGATGGTGAGTAAAGCGCCAGCACAACAAGATTTTATTCAGCTAACAATAATCTAGACTCAACACATCCAATCAACACACCTGCTTCTAGAGAAATCGATCCACTTACTATCCATGTGAAGGAGGCCATTGCGACAATTGGCCGACTAGAGGCCTTAGGCTTGCAACGCTACGACATTCCCCTGCCCAAGTGCATCGTGCTAGGTAAGTCACCAAATTATAGAAAATACAAAAGTTTTGTTCGCTGACATCCTTAGGCGAACAATCTACAGGAAAGTCTTCAGTGATTGAAGCCATCTCTGGTATCAAGACTCCGAGAGCCGATGACACATGCACCCGATGCCCTCTTCTCATCAAGTTGGAGTCCTCCGATGATCCGCGCGCGGGCTGGAGCGCGACCGTAACACTTCGACGCAATTTTGGTTACGATGGCAAGCCTGCAGGTCCAAGCCACGAACGTCGCTTTCCCGGTTGGATACAGTTACCACTGCCTAACGACGCTTTCTTCGCTGATACCGACAATCCTGAGAACCTGGAGCACATCATTCGCCGCGCACAACTGGCCACTATTAGTCCCCGCGTTGACTACCATGAATTCTTGCTTCCGAGTCTTGCCGCACTTGGAGAACATCACAAATGCAAGTTCAGTCCGAACATTGTATGCATCTCCATCACTCAGCCGGGTTCACCGTCTTTAAGTTTCTACGATCTTCCTGGTCTCATCAACCAAGCCGACATTGAAGAAGAAGCGTATCTTATCCAGTTTGTTCGTGACGTAGTTGTGGACTACGTCAAAGACGCCGAGTCTCTCATACTAGTCACCTGCTCGCTAGCGACTGATATCGCCAATTCAACCGCTGCTGGCATCGCGCGTAGTTTGAAGGCTACTGACAGATGCATTGGTATGTAACATCATCGTCTATAACTGCTTTTGCTAACGTAGCTTCCAGGCGTACTCACCAAACCCGACTGCCTGCCGAAGGGATCACGTCACGACAAACTAATGGAAGTCTTCGATCAGAAACGGTTCGCGCTAGGGCACGGTTACTTCGTTGTGAAGAACCCAGCACAGGATGAACTTAACAAAGGCCTTACACATCAAGAGGCTCGGTTGCAAGAGCACCACTTCTTCAGCGGAGAAGACCCGTGGTCTACAACCTTCAAAGATTATGCACACCGATTCGGAACTCTCAATCTCCAGAGTTTCCTTTCGGGGAAGCTTGCCGACCAGATAACGAAGAAGCTCCCAGTCATCGAGCATGAGATCGATACTCGGCTTGCTGAAGTAGAGGCTCGTCTGCAACAGTTCCCTGAACCTCCCAACCACAACGCGTCGCGTATCATCTCTGACATCGTGCTCGACTTCTCACAGGGGGTTCGTAAAGAGCTCGAAGCCGAATTCCCATGCAAGGAATGGCGTAACAAGTGGAGGCTTCTGCAAAACGCTTTCTTCGATGCGCTAGTCAGTATGAAGCCCACAATGGCGACGGGTGGACGTCGAGACGCAAGCGTTTATGCAGACGTACTAGACTCTCAGCCAGGAAGTTCTGCGAATAAAGCTATTTCGCTAGACGACGACGATGACGGAGAGCACAGCGACGATAGTGAGTCTGCAGCGCGCAACAACCCCGAGACACCTACCAAGAAGCGCAAGATCGACGGCATGCCGGGGCTCTCTCCAGTCAAGACACCGAAGCGAGGTCTGCCCAAACCGCTGGAAGAACAACCAATGATTACAGACTTCCGTGGCTTGAAGAAGAAGTTCGTTCTCGACGAAGTCACTGATTACTTGTCCGAACACTCCCAGTCGAAGGTACCAGGCCAGATCGAGCCACGAGTAGTCGATAACCTCATGCTCAGCACGCTTGAACACTGGGAGCAGCCGCTTGCGAAATTCTTCGATGCTTTCGAAAAGCAGATTAAGGATCAAATGAAAGCCCTGTTCACCCAACACTTCAAGAAATGGCAGGGCTCAACTTTCCATCAGACCGCATGGAAGATCGTTGAAGAGATGCTAGCAACCAACTTCGACCAGCAGCGCACTACCATGGCTAACGAGAGCCTCAATGACGAGAAGGAAGGACCATACATCTTCCATAACGACATCTTCGAATGTGAGAAGGAGGCCGTCTTGGAGAACTACCACCAGGCTCGCTTCAAATATCGCTTCACAAAGTACAAGAACAGCAGAGCGCAGCGCACAGGCAAGCCAATGAGTCCTGCTGAAGAAGAGAGGTTGAAGAAAGATGTCAGGGCTATGGAGGTATTCAACCATGAGCCTTATCTCGTCGAGCGAGGCGTTGTCGCTCAGGTCACTACCTACTACATGCTCGCCGTGCGCCGCTTTCACGATGCGGTATGTATGCGAATAGAGTCCAAGTTCTACAAGCAGCTCCGCACTCAACTCCGCGACGAGCTTGAGAATGGTCTTGGTCTGAACGAGGGTCATGAAGGTAAGTTTCCATTATCCAGACGGGAGACTATACATGCTAATTGTTGCGATTCAGGTTACGAAAACGCCAAGCGCCTCCTCTCGGAATCCTCTTATCGCTTCAACCAACGTATGGAGCTTGTTGGACAACGCGACTCTCTTCTTCAAGGCCAGAAGATCCTCCGTGATCTCCAGCAGAGGAGGTACGGTGGCGACAGCTCATCCTCCACCTTGGACGTCGGTTCTCGGACTCGCCGCTCCAGTGCTTCCGGCGGCATACCCACACCGGTTTCGGCAGAGATGGAGGACGTGGATATGGCTGGCGTTCCGCGTCACTAGTCTGGTGGTTTTTCATCTGTGGTTATGGCCTTGTTCTGGATACGATATGATGCACGAAGCTTGCGATGTTGGTGGATAAGGAACACTGTTTGCAGGAAGGTTTCTTTGGTCTACGTACGCGTGAACCAGTGGTCACGCGAAGCAGTTGCATAGCATGAGTATTGTCGTTATGGTTCATTTCTGGCAGCGTTGACTGGCGGCTAGCTGTCGAGCTAACTTTCATGTATGACGACTGACACGCAATCAAAGCACTTCGTCTATTCTAGATTGCTAATATGATCTGTGAATACAAGTGAGCATCAAGTCTAACATCCTAATCTACCGATCTTGAGATAGGAAGAAACGCTGCTTACGACGTCCGCGAACCGGTAGGGATAGACCCGTCTTCTCCTTCATTCCCTTCACTTTCTCCATGGCCCTCTCCTTCCCTGACATCTTCTTCAACATCTCCACCCTCGCCAGCTCCACCTTCCCGGTTCTGCTCTCGCCCTTCTTCCACACCTCCGCCATCACCACTCTGTCTCTGCCAGCGCTCATCCCCACCCGGCCCAACCGTCTCACCCACTCTCTGGGGTCTTCCAAGACTCCTCGCACATGCATATGCCTCAGCAACACGAAGCTGTTCTTCGGAAACTCTCAACTGGCGAGTGGCTTGCTGGTATGCACTCTCGCCCTTAAAAGCAGCGCGAGCACGCTTGGCTTGCGCTACTTTAACCGCCGCTTCAGCGACTACTACTGCATCCCAGGCTGCTTGCATCTCGAACGATGCTTCATCACTTCGTGCGGCGTAACGTCGTTGTTTATCTGGCCGTGACGCTGTTGGTACTGCCTCTGGCCGCGCTACCTCGGGTGGAGGGCCTTGCTCATTCTGATCGCCTTCATCGGCTGATAGTCCAAGCGAGTCCTCCGATACCGATGCCCAGCGGTAGCTCCTAGCAGTAGCAGTGATAGCTTGATAAACTGCCTTGAGACTATACCGTTTCATCCTCTTGCAGCGCATTTCCAGTTCCTCGCTGATCTTCTTGCCTTGTCGCTTAGTAGGAAAACGTTCGGACAAGTCGCGAAGCAACTCGATGATCACATCTTCAATACCAGTATCCTCTGGAGCATTAAGATCGCCTCCGCGTAGCATAGCTGGGAAGTCTTTGTGCAGTGAGACGATCTGCCAGTTGGAGTATATGAGGACGAGTGCCGAGTCTTTATCATCTGTCGTATGTATGGTCTGGGCTTCGGGTGCTTCGCTGAAGATGCTTGAAGTGTCGTCGTCGGCTTCTGCTTCGTTTGCGTTACTCTTTTCCCTTTCTGTCTGCTGTGCTTCTTTTTCTGCTTCGTCCTTTCCGTGCGATCTTAGTCTTCGTCTGAACTCATTTGCCGCTCCATTATTCGCTGGCTTGGCTGCAGGCTTAGGATTGGGTGCTGGAAGAGGCTCATCGTCTTCTGCTTCGTCTGATTCGGGAACGACGATGTCTTCTTCCTCGGATGTGATCGCGTCATCTTCATCTTGATCGTTGCTGGCGATGGGGATGGCGGTAGTGGTGTTCTTCTTTGTCTTCTTCCTGGCAGCCTGTTTCTTCCCAGGCCCCTTTCCCGCTGCTGGTCTCTTCTTCGTGTTGTTGGCTTTGAACTTCGCTCGGTCTATGAAGGCGCCCGCGAGTAGTTTCTGCAAATCCTGACAGATGTGACCCATCTTTTCCGACTTTGTGCTTCCTATGGGTCCTGCGCTTTTGTTGTGGTATCTCCGAACATAATACTGCTCGATTTGGTCTTTGACTTCTTGGCCCCGATTCGGAGTGTTACGCGATAGATCTCGGAAAGCGCGTATAGTCGTCATGTCGCAGGTGAACTCTGTCATTCTCTCCGTACTACCCTGGAGCCAAGTGTCGACGTGCATCCAGTTGCGCATGGTGGAGAAAGCCTGGCCCCAGTTTGCGATAATGGTGGCGATCGCCTGTCTTCGTTCCAGGGCTTCGGCCTGGGTGTCTCCAGGGGGTTCGGCTCCCTTGAGGTTGGGCGTCTTTGGTGGCATTGCGTTGGTGATGTCTTGAGAGTTGCTTGAACTGCATTTCCAAATCACAGCTCTCCTCTCTTTAAGGTAACCCCGCGCATTTCCATCTTATTCCAATGTTTGTTTCCAAGCAAGCACGCTCTTTGATCTTTGAACAAGACATTGCTCGAATGTTGCCAAAGCAGCAACAGTATTGAGCGGAGCAATCTAACATCTGAACAATGGTACTTTGGAGTGTGTCGCTGTGTTGCTAGCATCATTGGCGATGACATAAGAAGACACAAGTGTGGCAGATGATACTCTCAAACACAAAAAATGAGAGTTGAAACGCCTTAGTTCACATCCAATACATATATCGATGAGTGAACGACTTCTCAAATATTTACTAGTGCAATAGAAAGAGAGTGACATGAAGTAACATCGGTCTACCGACACTCGCTGGGTGTTAGCAAGCCATCCTTCCGCTACTTCGGCGGCGGCGGCTTCTTCGTTTTCTTCCTACCTTCTCCAAGACCTCCTCCGCCACTCTCTCCACCGCCCCCTTCCTGCTGTCCCTCTCCGCTTCCCTCCTCACCAACACCCTCAGCCTGCGCGCGGCGTCCCAATTCAACGTTACCGGAAAGACCCCCAAGACCATCACCCATCGTACTCCGTCTCGACCGTGCTCCTACCCAGCGTCCCTGTAACTCGTCCGTCCTCGCATATGCTTCGTCACTCACTCTTCTAGCTGCTTCAATTCCCAACAGCAGAGCGGCTTGATCCTGAACGGACTGTCCATTGAGAACGGCCTGCTCGTATCTACGACGGGCCGAGTGAATGCGTTGATCAGCTTGCCTGCTGTCGTTGAGAGCACGGCGTAGCGTCCAGATCGATCCTATAGTCAGTACACCGCCTTCGAAACGCGATAATCCTAGTTGTGCAGCAGGCTGCGTCGCATCTTGCGAAGCTCGGAATGATTGGTTTGTTAAGAGAGGTGCAGTTGGAGGATAACGTTCGCGGTCTCGGCGCCTGCGCTCCCTTTCTTCGAAGGTGAGTAGGAGTGGCTCTCCGCGCGAATCATCATCAATCGTCGATTGCCTTGCTAGCATTTCAGCGGCGCTGAGTCTACGTCCTCCCCTTGTGATTGCCGTAGTGAGCCTGGTCGTTGATCCCCCTGGTGTCGGTACTGCGGCATGCGTCGGCCCATCAAACTGTGCGAGGAAAGCAATGGCTTCATCTGTACTTCTCGCCCTTATAAAACTCTGCATCAAGTGAGCCCTGATCCGTTCCATAAGAGCAAACGCCTGCCGAGAATCATCGTGAAGGTTGGAAAGGTCAAGCAATCGTGCGACGAGTCTGAGGTCGATAGCCGTATCGCTCGTTATGTTGGCTGGAAAGAGGCCTCGGGGGAAGTCGAGATGCAACTGGTAGATGTTCCAGTTGATATAGATGTCACTGAGTGCCCGTCCTCTCTGTGATTCGGTGAGTACTGTAGCTTGCGTGGCGTTGTTTGCTGTTCCAGTCGCTGCTGCTTTGCCGTTCTGCTTTGCGCTTGCCGCTGCCTTTCCGCCATCGTCTGCCTTCTTCGGGGCTGGGCCGTCGTGGAGTATAATACTGGAACCTGAGCCAGAGTCGTCGTCGTCGTCTTGATGTAGGCGGTGAGGATCTAGGTCGTTGTAGTTCGGCTTTGCGCTATGCCTCAAGGTCTTCCTGCGCTCAGACATCTCTTTACCGTCATCTCCTGCAGATCTCTTCTTGCCTTTGCCCTGAGCTTCGGCCTGCTTCTCGTACTCCTTTAGTATCCTCTCCAAATCATCGCGCAGGCTCTTCTGTTTCTCAGCCGGCGTACTACCTATATCGCCAGTCTTTGACTTTCTCGTGTTCCAGCGCGACTCAATTTTCTTTCTGACTTCTTTGCCGAGATTAGGAGTTGCGTCGGATAGCTTCCGCAGTTGTTTAAGGGTGTCTGGTTCACATGTGTGTTCAGTCAAGTCCTTCGTTTGACCTTTGAGCCATGTATTTGCCGGTATGCAGCCGCTCAGGGTACTGAACTGTGGACCCCAACTCCTAGCCATGGCATTCGTCTCTTGTCTTACTCGTTGAGCGTCCGTCAGAGCAGGGGCCGGGACAGGTGCGATCGCCGACGCAGCTGCATTACCCACAGGAGGAGGAGGAGGATCACTCGCAGTCGCCGGTCCAGCTACTTCGTCGTCTAGTTCAGTCAAGTAGTTAAGCAGCTCTTCTTCATCTTCAGGAACAGGTTCGCGGTGCGGCTTCTGTACGCCATCTTCTACTGCCTCCTCCGCCTCCTGCTCAACCTCCTGTTCTCTCGCCACATCCGCCTCATCATCAACCATCATACTGTCTTCCCTTGTATCAAGATTTGCATCAGGTCTGGCTGGTGCCACAGTTGCCGTTGATGCTGCTAGTATGGTGGGTGCGACTGGCCCTGCGTTGCCGTTGTTCTCGTTACCGTCGTTCTGTTGCCTCCGCCTTCGTAGCTCGTTCTCCTTCCGTAGCGAGATATCATACTGGCGATTCTCTTTCGGCGGCATTCTCAGACTGGTATCCTTAGTATTCTTTCGATTCTATCGTACAGACTGAATAGTAAGATGGGCGAATGAACCCACTTGGACGTCCCCCCCTCATTAATACCCCTACCTACTAATCTATCTAATTCTATCGTTTGCATCTAAACAAACTCGTTCTTTGATCTCTCAAATCTGAAATGAATTAAGTTAGTACTAGATTCTTGTAGAGCAATCTAGAATCCAAGCACTCGCATTTCGAAAATGCTTCGCGTTATCGAGAGCATCGTTGGCTGGTGGCATCGCGATAAACGAGTCTACCTAGGTATTGAATCTTGCCCTTTAGTATTGCAATAAGTACCTGTGGGTCTTAATATCCTCCCTACATATATCACACACCGATCTAGACAGATCTTGGACTCTTGCTAGTTCAACTAGAAGACACTGACATGAGAAGATATCATTCAAACACGACCATTAAACGCTACCATCTCACATTTGCATTACCCAACTACCCCCCTCAATCTACGACTTTGTCACCGTCCACATTTCCATCAATCTATTCATCTCACTCTTCTTCCCCGTCGTCTTCCCCATCATCTGCATCCCTTTCCTTCTGCGCGATAACATGTTCAAGACGCTCAACTTCCCGATGCCTAGCCGCACTTCGAAGCACGCCGTCCTCGTACCTGAGCAGATATCCCCTTCCATCTCGATCAGTGCGTGCGGCAGCAATACGAGCTGCTCGCAGTAGAACTCTGGTGTCAGAAGTCGTTCCCATGTTGTCGGGATGCGATGGACGCTGTCCTTCAGCGGCGGCGTAGAATTGCTCGCCAGCCACTGCGATGACCGCAAGGATGTCCTCTAGAGAGGTACTTGTACGCGGGCTCATGCTGTCATGTAGCGCTTGTCTGACGGCTTGACCTTGCTCTGGTGTATTGGTGATGTTGGATAGATCGCGTATGCGCTCGAGGATGGCCCGGGGAATGTGCTCATCTGCGTCTTCGCCCATTTCAAACCAGCGTTGTGGCAAGAACTCCAGGACAGATTCGATGCTCCAGTTCTGGCGGATGAGATGGAGTGCGTCTCTTTGCTGCTGTAATGTCCGTATTCGGTTGCGTAAAGAGCTGTCGGGGTCTGATGCTTGTTGTCTTCCACTCTGCTTCTCAGTCGGTTGCTGGCCATCTTTCTTCGGCCTCTTGCTCGGCTTGCCGCCACCTTGAACTCCATTGTCCTCATCATCTGACTCTTCGTCGATATCCGCCATGGCGTCCGCCCTCCGCTTGCTCGACTTGTCCTTGCTGGCTCGTCCTAGATTGCTCCTGTCCTTCGTTGTCGACTTTGCAGAGCTCTGAGCCTTTCCTCTCTTTTTCTTAGGTCCTGATGCCGCTGCAGCCCCCCGAGGGGTCGCAGGTATCTCTCTATGCGTCTCCGGGTCAATCCTGTCCCCTTTACGTAGCCTTTTGATATCATCAACCAAGTTTTTCTCTTTCTCTACGGCACTGCCCCCTATCCTTCGATTAGCCCCTGTACTCCCCCTTTTATCGAAGAATAATCCAATTTGCTCTTTCATTGCATCGCCTTGTCCTTGAGTCTCGTTTGACAGCCCTTCGAACTCGTCAATGGTATCTAGTTGCCAGTTCTCGTCTTCGTAGTCCTTGAGTCCGCGCGAAAGCCACTTCTTTTCTGGGATGCACTCTCGGATGCTTCCAAAGCCCCAATTTCGCTTGATGGTAGCGGCCGCTTGAGTCCGTCGTTGAGCTTCAGTGAGAGCAGGAGGAGGGTTCGCAGGATTGTCAGGGTCGTCTTCCCCATCATCACCCTCGTCGATGACCACAACATCTTTGGCAGGCGCATTCTTTCGCGGTTTTCTTGCTACACGGGCACGCTTAGGAGGCTGTACAAGATCGTCCTCTGTTTCTTCAGGTAAGTGGTACGAGTCCCCTGTGTCATCCCTTTCTCCCAGCACTTCCTCGTCCTGCTGCTCTTCCACCGCAATTACATCATCGTCATCATCGTCACTATCAAGCACCGGAAACTCGTCGTCTGGTACTGGTTCTGGTTCCGGTACAATTGGTGCTGCGACTTTCTTCTCCCGGCTTTTGCTGGGTCTGACGTACTTGATTTTTGCCATGTCGAGATCCGTATCTTCGGTGCTTTGCTTGTCTTTCCCCATAGGCGCTGGATAGCAAGATGAGGGGAGAATCCCAGCACGACAGTACCCTGCCATTAATACACCCACCAACACGTCCATCCCCTTCCACGTTTGCTCCATCGACAAACACCTCCCTTTATTCCTTCCTTCCTGAACGCGCTGGAAGAGCCGTGTTGGTACAAGAGATAACCTGCGCGAAAACGAGAGTTACAAGATTGAAAAAATTACATTATCTGTAATTCCCATTCCGCGTCGACACATCCATCTTGCGACCGTCAGTAAACATCCCTACTATCCCTTCGTCCATCTAACCCCCTGGAAACCCTATACGCCCACCTCCCCATCCCAAGATTAGATAAGAGACCCAGATAAATATACAAAGAACTCAAACTTCGAGACAGAAAAACATGAAGAAAGGCGTAGTTCAAAAGGAGGCTGTATATCCCTACTCCGCCCCCTTCACACTCCCATACGCTCAATTAACTCATCCACCACAATCATTCCACTACCACATATCGTCATCCCCCCTCTTCCCCCCCTCATCATCGCTATAATTACTATACCCCCCACCTCCACCTCCCCCTCCTATCCCACCACCCCCACCCCCTTTACCACTCTGCCCCAGATAATTCTGCGTATTCGCTACACTATATCCCCCACCACCACCTCCACCACCTCCGCCATTCGCACTATGATTCGAGTGATGCGAATCACGCGGGTTCTGGTTATAAGAATTACCCTGCTGAGATCCGCCTCTTGCATGCTGTTGTTGTTGCTGCTGGTGTTGTTGCTGGTGTTGACCGTTTTGTTGCTGTGAGAGGCCGCCGTTGGCTTGTTGTTGGTGTACAGAGGGCCATTCTTGTGAGGATTTTTCGGAGGATTGCTGTTCGTGCTGTTGCTGTTGCTATATTCTTCATTAGTCTCCTCTTCTAAATATTGTTGCCTTTGGGATGTTCTTACCTGCTGGTACCGCTGATACTGAGCAAACTCCTCAGGCTGCGACTGTTGCTGCTGTTGTTGTTGCTGCGGTTGCTGCTGCTGCTGTACCTGCTGCTGAGATTGCTGGGCGGCCTGCTGCTGATGTTGCTGCTGTTGCTGCTCCTTCTTCTGCTGCGCGGCTTGTTGCTGTTGCTGAGCCTGTTGAGCTTGCTTTGCTTGCTTGGAGTTGCCAATGGAAATCTGCGGGTGCATTTGCTGGACCTTGGCGAGGTACGAGTACATGAAGTTGGACAACAAGACTTGGGAGTAGAGCTCGCGGCGGGGGTTCGCAAGCTTGATGTGGGCCATGCGGTAAATCGCGCGTTCTTCCAGGATCGAGAATCGGGTCCAGTTGTAGTCGATATCGGGCTTCAGGATGCGTGGCGGGGGCTCGGGCGATAATCCACGTGAGGCGTTCTTCTTGTGGGACGACTCTTTCTCGCCCTTCTTCTTTCCTCCTCCGAAGATGGAGGACAGCAATCCAGGCTCCTTCTCTTTCTTGCCTTCGCTGGATGTTTTTCTAGCGCTCTCCTTCTTTCGCTCTTCTTCCAGCTTGACGCTTTCGCGATCCAGCACTACGCTCTCTCTACCACGACCGCCACCCTGTATCGATGTCTGCAGGAGGTCCAGTCTCGTATCATCGTGGCCCTTGTCCTTCTCCTTCTCCTGGGACTTGCTGAGCTTGTTCTTGACCTTCTTCGGGGCTTCTTTTTCTGAGTCTTTGTCTTTTGACTTCTTGTCTTTTTCCTTCTCCTTATCACCGCCAAACCAGCCCCAGCTTGTCTTCCTTTGGCCGCCTTCAGAGCCATCTTTATCCTTCTTATCTTTGGCCTTCGGTTCGAGCTTCTTCTCTTCTGGTGCGTTCGGGATTATGGATAACGAATCGACCCTGTTGTTCTGGCCGGGCATCGCCGAAGGATGCGCTACTAGGTCATCGAAGGACTGCGCGGGCTTGATCGGGGACGACTGAGCAGCTTGTGCATGACGATTCGGTCGACTCGACGACTGGGGCTGGCGCTGTTGTTGCGGAGGTTGCTGCTGAGGTTGAGGATAATGGCGAGGGCCTGCAGGTTGTTGCTGGGCTTGAGGCGGAGGTTGGCGGGAGGAGTGACGTTCGGGTAGCTGAAACTGAGGTGTTCGGTTCTGTTCTTGTGGCGGTGGTGTCTCGATGATCTGGGGTACCTGCTGCGGCGGAGGTGTGTAGCCTGGCAAAGGTGCAGTCGTGCGGCCGTTGGAGGCGATTCTCGAGTGGAACTGCCTGGGCTGCGGCGAACTTCGCTCCTGCTGTGAGATAGGCTCTGTAGAAGCTGACCTGGGGTACTCCTCCGACGAACCAGGTCTCTCGCCGCCATAGCTGGGAGATGCCCGCTTTGCCCCAGGTCGCGAGAAGTTGTTCGACGAGCCTTCAAACGCCGAGTTAACGGGTTCCGACTGAACGCGGTTGAGACCTGGGAGAGGAGGGACTTCGGGTATGCTCTCGGTAGAGTGGACGGGCGAGGTGGACGGGGAATCTTCCGTGTCTGTGTCTCCTTGTCGGCCAGAGACGAGTCGCCGTGAGAGGGGCGGGCCGCCTTTCCGCAGACTGCCTCGTCTGTAGGTAGTGTGTGTTGATCTCTTGAGCGTGCCCAGACCACGCATCTTGCTACCCGGCACAATGGGCATGCCGTCGGCGCCCTCTTCCCCTTCCCCAGCCATGCCCTTTTGATCGATGCTCATCCGTCTTATCAAGGCCACCGGGTCCTCCTGTATGTGCTCGAGCTCCTGAAGGTTGGACAAGCCCCCGTTGGGCTGCGCGCCGGATCGTTTCCTCTCCAGCCTCTCGGCGCCGTCCTTGTAGCCAGAGCCAGTATCAATCTGTCTGGACAGCATCGACTTCTTCCGCCGCAGCCCTCCACCCGAGCCCTGACGCCCCATGGCGCCATCCGGAGATAGCGAGTCAGAGTCTCCGGAGCGTCGTCTCGTCCTGTCAATCTTGTCTTCAATGAACGTCTTGAACTCCATGGGCGCCAGTTCGGGGTGCAGCCGCGCGGGTACCCAGAAGAGTTTCGACTCGTCCTCTTCCGACATGGCCGGTGGGGAGGGCGGTGAGTTTGCGGACTGGAACGAAGGTAGATCGGGATCGGC